AACCCCCCCCCCCCCAAATGAAAGTTTTTCAGTGATGGTGGTGCATTCCAGCAGCTACCGCTCTAGAACGCACACGCTTTCCGTGTGAACAAGCCCTAACATTAAAAAAAAAAAGACAATAGAATACCTCCCTAAGGAAATACTAGTTTGCTGGTCTTTTTACCATGCGCTTTTACATCTGCCATCTTGATTCTAGAGATGTCAGCCTGTAGCTTGGGGGAAGACAGTATTACAGAAACCTTTTTTCCTGATCTTCCGCTTGTCAGATTTACAAATGTCACTATTTGAAGAATGCAGTGTTCTTAGTGTAGCTCCTAACGGTAAACAGATAGGTCTCCCGTAACTGTAAATTGATTTCTCGGGGGTGGCTTTAAAGACTTCATTCACTTTTAATGTTTTGTTTTCAAAAAGCCGTTAACATTACAACTCAAATGCTGCCTTCTGTGGTTTTTAAAATTTTTTTTTTTAACATTTTATATAGGGATGCACAGATACCGATACTAGTATCGGTGCTTATGCCGAGTATTTGGGCAAGTACTCGCACTCCCACTGGAGTAATCACCAGGGAGCATGGAGCTTGCTTCCCGGCCAATCAGGAAGTCAGGGGCCGGGTAATGACTCGCGTCCTGGCTTCCTGATTGGCACAGGAAGCCAGCTCCGTACTCCCTTGTCACTTGGTAACAGAAGTCATTACATGCTGTTCGGTTTCCTGATTGGCCAGAAAGCAGACTCCATACTTCCTTGTCATCTGGTGATGGGGTAGCATGGGGACAGCTTCCCTGCCAATCAGAAAGCCAAGTGGCGAGTCATTAACCACCCCCGTCTTCCTGACTGGCCAGAAAGCCGGGTTCATGCTTCCGCGTCACCTGGTGACGAGGGAGCATGGAGACGATTTCCCGGCTAGTCAGGAAACCAGGTGGCATCACACTCCACCCGGCTTCCTTAATGGGACTTCCAGTAGCGGCGAGTATGGAAAAAATAATATTGGTAATCGATACCGAAAAACCGGTATCGGTGCATCCCTAATTTTAAACATTAATGAATAGGACGACCATTGGATGTGCAGCCCCAGCTCCTCGATGAACAAGCACTTGCAAGAAGAACTCGGCTTGCCTAGCTGTGCATGTGCAGTTTGCTTTCTCTTACAGCAGTGGCAGAGCTCTGCATTCTAAGAGTGAGAGTGAGAGAATGTGTGGTTAGACAAGCACTCCCACTGGAGTACTGTTTCAAAGGAGTTGGGGCCATGCATTTATGGAGAGTGGAAGACCATGGATACAGCATTAATAAAAGTAAGCATAATTCAAAGAAAATGGAAAGCAGCATTATAATATTGAAATGCAGAAATAAGTCCTGCACAGCATCCAGTCTTACAAGTGAGCATTTTCTGAAAATCAAGCCAGACTGTATAATTTTGATTTTATGATGCTTGTTTTAAACCCCGAGTCAGTAATTTCAGTACGTAGTAAGCCAGGAGGGGTGGAAGTGGGTAGCAAGACATACCTTTCCACTGTGAACAGAATGGTTCTTCTATGCAATCTACTGAAGTACAGTAAAGTTCAAGTTTCATCTTTAAAAGACAGTCTTGACAATCACAATGTGATCTAATGTAAATATGGCACATATTTCTGATATGCTTACATACTGGTAACAAGGGAAAGAGAATTCCATACCTGAGGACCAGTCACCTGAAAGGTATCTTCGGCATGAATACATGTAATTTCCAAAGGTTCTGTACCTGAAACATGCCTCAACAACCGACAAGACTGCAAGTAAAAACACACATTCTTTAGTGACTGAAATATTCACAAAAAAATGCCTATACCGTTCTGCTATGATTCAGGACTGGAAATAAGACAAAACAACAAAGACTGTTTTGCTGTGGGAGGTTTTTTTTATTTTTGCTTCAGCTGTATTACCAACGGCATGACAAGTACAATATCACCATTTTCTACACTCCTCCAGCTTCTTGGAAAAAGCCATCAGTCCAAAATATGGGAAACAAAATAAGTTTCAGGTAAGTTAGCACACAATTTGATAACTCCTCAGCTACCAAATATACATCACATATCCTTTAACATGGCTTTGGAAAGACAAACTTCTGTTAAAAATGCTGTAGTTGGTATCAAATGGTAGTGTTTCACAGACTAACATTTAAGAAACTGCTGGGAAGGTTGTTTAGCCTTTCCTACTGAATTCCATTACTGGGGAACCATAACTGTCTAAAGAAACATGTAATAATCAGTGGAATGTTTGTCCGTCAAGGAAAGGCAATTTGTACAAAAGATCATCCATGTCTGGAGATTATTGCCTAAGGTTTCTGGGCGAGCTATCCTTTCTTTCCAGTGCTTTTGCTCTCTACAACTTACTAGTCTAATAGATCTCATTCTGTCTCATCTGAGAGGATGCAACCAGATTTAAAGCACTAACAGGAAAACTTCAACACTAAAAAGAACCCATTTTGTATCACCACATGAACAAAAGGAGAAAACTATATATATATTATTAGCGTCCTGAAATATTACTATAGCTTTAAAAGTCTATACTGTACAATAAAGTGCATGTCCAGGCAAAACTTTGTTGTTTCTTAGTTTTCTATATAGTGGGGAAGGGTTAGGCACCTTTCACACAAGTGGTCTGTTCGGGTCCACCTGTCAGTTTTTCAGGAGGACCCGATCGGATGCCCAATGCTATTCTATTAGCAGCCGGGTGTAAACGGACATTGGGTTGCCTCTGACTCTGGCCAGGTCCGGAAAAGCAAATGAAACAGTCTTCCATTTCGCTGGACCTGAGCGTGATCAATCAGGGGTAATCTGATGTAAATAGACACATGTCCATTTACATCCGATTCCTCATAGACTGACTTTGGGCCTGGGAGTTTTAGTTCTTTTCTCCATCACAAGGAGGAGAAAACTGGACAGACAAAGATGTCAAAGCAGGGACATCCGATCCGTACTGCTCCGATCAGGAGGGGATTCATGCACGGATCCCCTCCTTATCAGCCTGTGTGGAAGGGGCCCTAGAAACCCTGGTCAAGTTTTTACTGTTAACTGGGGCATTTCCGCTTCCTGTCTGGTGAAATATCTGTGAGCAGGACAGAAATGAGGGTAAGTTGCTCTAACAGAGCCCCAGATAGCTGTAAAAACGTAAGATTTGTAAACCTTTCTCTACTATATTCAAATATAGAAAAATGATTTTGGCTCGACATACATTTTAACACCATTTAAAACAAAATGCATTATAATAAAAAGCAAAAATATATATAATATTTTAAAAAGCAATTCCTTTTTGTCTAGCTGCCACTCATCTATTCCTCTTGCTCTTAGACGGATCCATGGAGCCTCTTTCCCCCTCTGCTGCAGCAGTCTTAAACTGGCCATACAGCTATAGAATATTTGCAGATTTTCTATGCAGCAGATTCCTCCATTTACGCTAAACTGTGTGGATGGAGGAATCTCCCACTGGGCCAGTATCTTGCTAGTCGGCCCCGCTGGCTCTCAAAATACCTGAACAATGCCTGCATCCAATTAGATTGTTCAGGTATTTTGAGAGGCAGCGGGGCCAACTAGCAAGATACTGAAGCTTGGCCCAGTGGGAGATTACTCCATCCACACAGTTTAGCGTAGATGGAGGAATCTGCTGCCTTTTTTCCATCTGACCATAGAAAATCTGCAGATGATCTATAGGTTTCAATCTGACCATACAATCTTTGTACAATAAAGTTTAGATCTACCAAAACTATGTAATATGAGTACCTACCTACACTATCCAATCAACACATCCAATCAGGCAGGCCTTTGTACTACATGCATGTTGGTAGACCTGAAGGAGATTTTACAATCAGATTGTAACATGTTTGGTGAGCTTAACTATCCTTAAGTCATCACGTTCTATATACAATGTGGAGGATATGAGTACACCAAAGGACATACCATCAATGCAGAAGAGGAGGAGACAGGCTTCTGGGGCATAACATTTTTACACCTAGACAAAAACTATCACTCAACTCTTGTGATGCGGGGGTAGCCCCACTGCAAGGGTTAAGAACAAATTTTGCCTGGAGTTCTGCTTTAAGTGTTTATTAATCCCCAAATTAGAGACCACCTCACAGGATCACTGGGATTGTAGCTCCAGAAGCCAGCACTGTGTAACTTCTGCTCTCTGTCTGTGCTTTCTTTATCAATAATTGCATTCAGACTCCCAAAGTAGGTTTTAATCTGATTGCCGTCTGTGAGAAAATTGGTGACGTTTATTTTTACAGCAGGCTTTCTGTATGGGAGAGACAGCAAGGAGCCTGTAGTTGGTGAGTCTGGAAGTTGGGGGTGAGTTAATCAATTCACCCACACGGTGAATAGCAATCTTTTCTGATTCACCTAAATATACTGCAGTGTGTGACAAATACTGCATAATATTAACTACAATCATGTGCATCTTCATGATTATACTTGCAACACACAGAGCAACATGAAAATATTCAGCAGATTTTTAAAAAAAGATTTAGATCCGCTTTATGTGCAAATTATTTATTTGATCCCTATTTGAGAATAAATTTCCAGCATTGCAGAAAGGTCAGATTACCTACAAAATAAAATGGGGTGGAATGGGATCAGGCAGCAATGGTAGGATGAGAAAATTAAGCACTAAGCAAGTAAGTTCCCTGTGCTCATCTCAAAGTCACTTCAATTTTGATGTGAGTGTAACTTTACCAGATAAATATAAACGAAGGATAAAGATAAACACGGGCAGTGAATTCTGGAAAACAAAATTAGTCTAGGGTATAAATTTGTCTCGTTGAGCAAGAGTATACTTTTCCAAGACTGGCATTTACTAACATTAAAGTAGTATTAAGGTCTAGGCGTTTTTTACCTTAATGCATTCTCTGCATTAGTGTAAAAACAGCCCAGGACCTTTTTTTTACCCCAGTCCCCCCCACAATTACCTCTCAGCTGCACTCGTCCCCCGCCGCCGGTCCCGAAGCGATCCTCCGTACCCCGAACTTCCGGGTTTTGGGTGGGAGGATACTGATGGCAGAGAAGTTATAGGCTCCTTCAAAAGCGGAAGGGGCTGTGTGTGTATATGGACGCACACAGCCGCTGCGGGGACGAGTGCGCACGGGTGCCTCCATTAGAACGATGGTGGCACCCATGCAGGGGGCGATGGGGAAGAGCTTGGCGGGGACACACTAGAAAACGAGGAAAGAAGTACTTTAAAAAAAATAAAAAATAACAGCCTCTAGCAAAGGAGGGTCTCCTTAGGCCTGGTTCACGCCTGGGCGTTTTACAGCGCTGATCTACGCGCTGTAAAACGCCCAGCAAGTGAAATCCCATACTTTCCTATGGGCATAGCTCCCACCTGGGCGTATTTCAGCGCGTAGGAACGCGCTGAAAAACGCCCTACCCCCAAAGAAGTACAGGAGCTTATTTGGGGCGTTTTTCCGCGCGTTTCCATTGGTATTCCCGAGTGTGGATCGGGGTTAACAAAGCAGTAACCCAGAGCCACACGCGGGAATACAGCTTACAGGTCTTACCTTGTCTGGGATCCGCACGGTGTCCTCCGGCGGCTACTGACTTCTGTCCCTTGCGAGCAGCCGTGTCGCAGGGGGGTGGAGCCGGCGCAAAGTTTGAATGTGAAAAATAAAAAATATAAAAAAGAGAAAATATGGAAAAAAGCAACAAAAAAAATATCGCCAGTAAAACGCACGTGTCACTGAACGGAAAAACGTGCTAAAAAAACGAGCAGAAAAAAATACGCCCAGGTGTGAACCCAGCCTAGTAATGAAAAAAACAAGTTTGGCTTTAATATCACTTTAAATTATACCATCACCATTTATCGGCTGGCAAATTGTGGAATGGAACATGACAACCAATAACTACAGCATGCATTCATGCATGTCAAATGCTTTCAGAATGTTGTCCATTGCTCAATTTCCAGCCAAAACCTTATGTTTTATTTTTAGATAGACTGGGAAAGATTAGAACCCTTGTTGGATTCCACTGCTATCCAGAGCTCTGTTAGACATTTCCCTCCACTTACTATCCCAGTGATCATGGTTTCACCAGGCAGGAAGTAAGGAAAAATTTCCAACAGCCACAGGCAGAAATAAAATGTGTTTTTTTTAATGGTAAATGAAGAACCCTTTTGGTTTTGTACTGCTGTCTATGTCCTTGTTGCAGATTTTTCTTCACTTCCTGTTTGTTAAAACAATTGCCACCATGATAGTAAGTAGGGATGCACCGATACCGGTATTTTGGTACAGAGTACGAGTACCGATAATTTTTTTCGGTACTCGCCGATACCAATTACCGAGTAACGGAAGTCCCATTCAGGAAGCCAGGTGGTGTGTAATGACTCGCCACCTGGCTTCCTGATTAGCCGGGAAGCGTGTAAAGAGTCACCACCCGGCTTCCCGATTAACAAGAAAGTCCCCTCTTTCCTAAGTATGTGCAGCCTGTCACCCCCGGGGCCTCTCCAGCGAGAACGCGGCCTTCGTCCGTTACCCAGCCGGAGCCATCTGGCCATTCAGGAAGCCGGGCGCGGTGTAATGACGCGACGCCCTGCTTTCTGATTGGCCGGGAGGCCGCCTCCATGCTCTTGTCATGAGATGACGAGGGAGCATGAAGCCAGCTTCCCGGCCAATCAGAAAGCAGGGTGTCGCGTCATTAGACGGCGCCCGGCTTCCTGATTGGACGGATCGGGCTGGGTACCGGACGAAGGCCGCATTCTCGCTGGAGAGGCCCCGGGGG